GAGCAGGTGGGACAGAATGGGGAAGAGGTTATATCAGAGTCCAGAATTAAACAGTATTGGTGAGGCACCTCACCCAAAAGTGCTGCTAAAGACTAGGAAGAGGAGATAAGGGTGCAGCATATCCATGTTGGGTGTAAGGTTTGAGACAGCAAGCTGAGGGTGAGAGGGAAAGAGTGGTCATAAAAGAAACAGCGTGTAGGGGAAGGCAGGGGGTTTTGAACAGGCTCTGAGCTAGGGGAAAGGAGGTGAGGGAAGTTTGTATGCAAAGATTGGGGCCTGCATAGAGGTGCTCGACAGAGTTTTTGCTACCACTCAGGCTGGAAGTGAAGCTTTCTGTTGGTCTCTGAGGGCAGCAGAGTGGGGGCAGCAAGTAAGCTGGGGGTCCAAGCAATCTACTGGCTTGTGGCCCAATCCTGTCCAGGTGTTTGGATTTTCTAATTACACAATGCTTAGCTGCTCAGTATAGAAGTGAAGGGAGGTGGCCTGAGACTGCCTTACGGAGAGGCTGCTTAAACAGTCAGATAGGATAAGGATGTGGCTGTGTCCATAACAGATGGGTTCCTGCGCTTAGGAACCATACCAAGTTTTGGTAGGAAAAACAAACACGTCTGTTGTGCAGTACAAGTGCGCTACAGTAGAAAATAAGCAACAGGAGAATGGCTAGGCAAAGGCCCTGCAGCAGCCCTGTTGCATTTGGGGAACAGTAGAGGTACAATGGGGAAAGAGAAGAAGTGGAAGAAGTTGTTAGAGGTGAACCCTACTGTGCCAAGGGCTGGAGCTGATGTTAATCACACATTAGAGTCTAGAGTCTCACCTGGAGGGAGAGTGTGTGGGCGTGGTGGCTCTGGGACATGATAGGGCAAGACAGTGGCCCTGTGGGTCCTGTGCTCCTAAATTATGTTCCCCTCAAGCTTTTGCACCTTCTGCCATCCCTGGATACAGTGGGCAGCTCTCAGTCTGTCCCCCATGTTGGGCAGCTAACTCCTGCCCCCTCCAAGCATTCCCTTCCCTGGATTCTAAGAGCCTACACTCTCCTCTTACTTCTGGTCATGCCTCCTTTTCCAAGCCTGCCAGTGTTAGTGTATCTGGTGTTCTGGCTGTGATTTCTCTTTCTCCCCAGATGCTTTCTTCTGGCTTCACAGCTCTAAATCTTATCTATATTCTGATAGTCCCCACATTGCTCTCTCCAGCCCAGACCTAGGCTCTGCTCCAGGCTCCTGCATTCTGCTACCACCTCACCAACTCCACCATCAGGTTGCATGAGGGGATTTTTCTAAAGGGCATTCCAAAGTCAACATGTTCCAAACTGAGCACTAGACCTTCTCCCCAAACTTGTTTCTTCCTTCCCCTCACTATTTCGATCAATGGTAGTTTTCTACTTCTTTGTTCATGCCCAAAATTTTCGAGTTATCCTTGACCGCTGCTCTTTTTGTCATATCTATGTCTACTCTGTCAGCAAGTCCTGTCTACTCCATGTTCAAAATTTCTTAATCCCTGAGAAGTCCTTTAAATGGTTGATAATTTAGTGTACAGTGGACCCTCAAGTTACGACCAGCCTAACATGCAAACAACTTGGGTTATAACTGGAATTTTAGTTTTAACTTATGACCAAAGTCTTGAGTTATGACCCGAATGCCAGCCACTTGTGCTTCCAGATGGTTTCAGATACAGATTTAACCCTTAAAGAGTTTTCCGTTCCTGCATGGGGTTAATTGAGAAATCCTGGGCCAATGTCTCTCTAAGGACACCAAGATCTGCTTGGAAGAAAGTGTGGCCTAAAATTATGCAGGAGAGAGACTTTTAAAGGCTGTGTAGAGGAGCCTGACCAACTTGAGTTACAACCAGCCTTCAAAAACGAATTGAGTTCGTAAGTCAAGGGTCCACTGTAAACTTCAGTGTACTTGGTACTGTGTGTTCAAAACTATATGATGTATACTTTTAATATTTGTAGAAATTGACAGCTGGTAATGATGGCACACACCTGTAGTTTCAGCTACTCAGGAAGCTCAGGTGGGAAGATTGTTTGAGCTCAGGAGTTTAAGATCAGCCTGGGCAACATAGTAAGAGCTTATCTCAAACAAAAAGAACTTACTGCGTATAGAGCTGTGTGAATACATCAGTGGTAGCACAACTGACTAGCATGTACCAGGTCCTCAGTTTCATCCCCAACACCATGAAAAAGGGAAATAAATTTATTGAATATTTAAAAAATTCCTTACAAACACATAATGCTCTAGTGTTGTTTTGCTTTCCTGGTACTGGAGGAATGAATGAACCTCTTTGGGGTGTTTGTTTGTTTTTGTACTGGGCATTGAATGCAGGACTTTGGGTTTGCGAGGCAGATGGCAGAACAACTGGGCTCAGTCCCCAGCGCTGTTATTTTTTTGTTTTTGAGACAACATCTCACTATGTATCCCATGCTGGCCTTGAACTCATGGCAGTCCTCCTGCCTCAGCCTAGCAGGCCCTGAGATTAAAGGTGTGCACCACCAAACCCAGCACTAGCACACACCCACCCCCTAGGAATCAAGACCTTGTACTTGTCAGGGACGCGTGGTGCCACTCAGCTACATCCCTAGCCCACATTTTTATATTTTGAAACTAGGTCTCAATAAGTCACTAAGTTGTCAAGGCTGGATGGGAATTTAGGATCTTCCTACTTCAGCTTCGTAGAGTGCTGGGATTATAGGCATGTGCCACCACATGCCTCATTAACCTGATCTTACAGCCAAATAGTCCTGCAGAAAGGAATTGGCAGCTCCTTAGAAAAACCTTGTCTGTTCCACAGGGCTCACTGAGCATTTGGGGCTGGAGAAGGGCCACTTGACCCCAGTGTCTGTGCTTGTGTCTGGGGAAAGGGTAGGGGGAGCGTGGTGTCTGTGGGGAGCTGAGGGCTTTTGAGTTCATGTGGGGTGATACTCACCAACTCTTACTGCTTGCTGGGACCAGGTGAAGCCTCAAGCTCTGAGGAAGAGCCTCCATCCCCAGAGGATAAAGAGAACCAGGTTCCAAAACGAGCTGGCCCGCATCTTCGCTTTGAGATCACCAGTGAGGATGGCTTCAGTGTGGAGGCAGAGAGCTTAGAAGGTGAGTTGGGAACAGCAGTGGCGTGGAGAATAAGGTGTCCCATCAGACCCCATCCTGACTACCATGGCTCTCTCTTCACTCTAGGGGCGTGGAGAGCTCTGATTGAGAAAGTACAAGAGGCCCGAGGACATGCTCGGCTCAGACATCTCTCCTTTAGTGGTAAGTGGTGGCTGGTGCACGTCCCTGCCACCGCCACTTCCTTTCACGTCATCAGCATGCCTTCCATTTCTCTCCTCAGGAATGAGTGGGGCAAGGCTCCTGGGCATTCACCATGATGCTGTCATCTTCCTGGCAGAACAGCTGCCCGGGGCTCAGCAATGCCAGCACTATAAATTCCGCTACCACCAGCAGGGAGAGGGCCAGGAGGAACCGCCCCTGAATCCCCATGGGGCTGCTCGTGCTGAGGTCTATCTCCGGTGAGAATGCTGGGGAACCCTGTGGGATCTCTCAAGGGTAGGAAAAAAGCCTGGACAGTTTGAAACCAAGACGTTAGGCCATTCCAAGAGTTACTGCAGAGTAGCATGAGAATTAACTCCACTCTGTTCCTCTCCACTGTGTCTTCAACAGCATATTCCTCTTACGGTGCCAACAGTTGGCCCAGGCTCCAGAATTGGTAGCCAGCATCTCCTTGAAATAATGACTGTGACCCTTCCTCCTTTCCTCTGTCTTGCCTGCAGGAAGTGCACCTTTGACATGTTCAATTTTCTGGCCTCCCAGCACCGGGTGCTCCCAGAAGGGGCCACCTGTGATGAGGAAGAAGATGAGGTGCAGCTCAGGTCAACCAGGTATGGAGGGCAAGCAGGGGAGCTGGGAGTGGTCCTAAGTGTCCTGATGAGGGTGAGCAGGAGGAAGAGGTCATAACTGGATACCAACCTGTGTGACAATGTTATCCCCACCAGACGTGCCACCAGCCTGGAGCTGCCTATGGCCATGCGCTTTCGCCACCTCAAGAAGACATCAAAAGAAGCTGTGGGTGTCTATAGGTTAGTGGGGTTGGGGAGATGCCCTTTGGGTGGAGGGACGAGTGTTGGTTGGGGGCTGCCTGGGGTCTGTCCCTCTAGCCCCTGAAGTCCCCCTTGTCCATCCTACCCTGCAGATCAGCCATCCATGGACGAGGCCTGTTCTGTAAACGCAACATTGATGCTGGCGAGATGGTCATTGAATACTCTGGCATTGTCATTCGCTCTGTGCTGACTGACAAGCGAGAAAAGTTCTACGATGGGAAGGTGGGCTCTACAGGACATGGCAAGAAGGTACGGGAGGTGGACTGCCCATGGGGACCAAGAACCTGATTCTCTCACCCATTCCTGTAGGGCATCGGGTGCTACATGTTCCGCATGGATGACTTTGATGTGGTGGACGCCACAATGCATGGCAACGCCGCCCGCTTCATCAATCACTCATGTGAGCCCAACTGCTTTTCTCGGGTCATCCATGTGGAGGGCCAGAAGCACATCGTCATCTTTGCCCTGCGCCGTATCCTGCGTGGTGAGGAGCTCACCTATGACTACAAGTTCCCCATCGAGGATGCCAGCAACAAGCTGCCCTGCAACTGTGGCGCCAAGCGCTGCCGTCGGTTCCTTAACTGAGGGTGTGGCTCTCTGCCACAACTCCTCAGGCCCCCTGATGCCATCTTGTCCCTGGCCTGGGGGCTCCCTAGTCCCTCCCAGAGCGTCTCACTCCCACCTTTCTGTTCAGGGTGGATGTGGGCATGCAGCTGGCAAGGACCCTGCCCCCAACCCTTCTAGCCCACCTAGCAATCGCCCCCTTCCGCCTTGGGGCCCAGGATGTAGATATTGTACAAAAGTTTCTAAATCCCTTCTTTTCTATGCACTTTTTTATTTAAGAGGGTGGGGTCCCAGGTGGGAACCCCCTACAATAAAGCCTGTCAATGTTTGGAGAGGTGGTCTTCCCATTTGTACAACGCTTGAGGCAGGTAGGGACTCTTGCTTCTCTCCGTGTCCCACACCCATCCTGAGCCAAGGAAGTCCTTCAGCCTCAACAGGAGGTATGAGGCAGTCCTCAGAATTAGATAGAGGTAAACTGCAGGGTCTGTGAAGGCTTCAGAGTAAGAAGCGTTCGTATTCTAATATGGTTGGTTAGAGAAAGCAGGCCTTTCTAGGAAAGGAGGATGCTGGGTCCCCCTTGCCCAGTTTAGGGTTTTGCTTTCAGAAGGACCCTTAACGGGCGCCAGAGACAAAGGGCATTTTTTTTTTAATTTCATTTTTATTGTAGCCCCCGCCATAGATCTAGGTCAGCCAAGCCTGGACAGCACCTGCAGTGCATCGTTCCGCCTTAGGTGGGCCAGGTGCACACTGAGCTCGCCCAGAGTGGCTGATGGCTCCCTTGCCACCACCATCTCAATCAGGGCCCGCAGTGGTGAGCGAGTGGGCCGCAAGGAGTAGGCGAAGGTAGACCAGGCAGCAGGCAGCCCATATCTTGCAGCAAGGTGCCGAGTGGTACCATAAGCCATGCCACCTCCAGGCCCAGGCCCAGGCTCAGGGTCCAGCAGCACAATCAGTTCCTCCAGCACCTCCAGCTCATCCAAGAGGCGAGAGAGAGGCTGTGCAACCAGACCTGCCAGCTCTGGTACAGGAAGGAATGAAGGGGAGGAAGGGCAGGCTTCCAGCACCCCTCTTCCCTTCTGGGTGTGTCTCCCTAACTCACCCATGCTCTGGAGTGGGAGCAAAAGGGCCTTTCCTGTGCCCTCTGTCTCCATTATGCCTGGGGAGAAGGGTGAGTGCAAGGAGAGGGTGGGGGTGTTGTCTCCGTGAACCAAGCCAGGGCAGAGAGGGGAATGGGCTTTTCCCTTCTGGTGATGCCTTTGCAGAAGGAGGCCGCAGGTGAGCATGGCCAGCATTAAGGACAGGACCAACACCAACGGCAAGACAAAATGTGAGAAGCTGCTCTGAGTTGTCCATGAGAGACTGGAACTCCCTGGTGACGTGGACTCCTGCAATACAGCAACTTGGTTGTTGAGTTGTAGGGCACAGAACCCTTTGGCAGGGATAGACCTGGGAAGAGGTCTGGGAGAAAACGGGAGGCTACACCCTGCTTCCTCCCCATGAGCCCATCTCCCACCCTTACATCCTTCTTTGGGGCCACAGTCTTCCTGTCCGTCCCTACCTTCCACCCCACCCCGACTACCTTAATACAAGCCCTCTCTGACCCCTTCCAGCACAGTACTCTTCCTGTCCCTGGATCTAGGCCATGCCCGTTAGATACCAAAACATGTTCCCATCCCTGCCCCACCTCCGTCTAGCCCTGGCCCAGCCCTCTGCAGTTGGACCAGTACCTCTCCGCAGCACTGCTGGGTCCTGCCAGGGCTCCCAGTGCGAATAGGGACCGGGGCTTCTACGGTGCAGGGGCTACACAGCTCTGCAAAGTCGGGGTTGCAATGCCCAGGAGAACATTTTTTGAACGGGTGCGTCAAATGATCCCCGAAGTCACTGAGGCCGCAGTTTTCCTCAAACTCGTGATCTAGTGGGAGACCTAGCTTCAGTGGAGTTACCGAGCCCCTAGTCTTCAGCGCTAGCCATACCCTTTTCCTTTTGCCTTAACCCCTTTGTCCCCGCCCCTTGTATATTCCCCATCCTATCAGAGTAAGTCCCATCCACACCCCACTTCGTCACAGACCCCTCCCGTCCCCTCATACACTTAGCACCGCCCACACCCTCGATTTTTTTACCTAACGCCCATCTTTTCATCGCCACATCCCTTCGATGTTGCCCTAACCCGCACTATCCGGTTCTGCACCAACTCAGCCTGCCATCCTAAGAAGTCTCAACTGGATGTAACCCACACACCTCACTCCTTCCCCAGCTCCCTGTCACCCGCTAGCTAACTCCACCCGGATTTACGCATACACCCAATCCTGGCTCCTCACCCGGGTAAGGAGGCGGCCCGAAGCGCTGCAGGCAGCTGCTGCAGCGCTTGCTATCTGGGTTCCAGTACTGGAGGGGGCTGCAGTGCCCGGAGGCTTTCGATCGAGGCACTGCTAGGGCCAGAAGCAGCATGATCTGCAGGAGGTGTCTGAGCCCCATCCGGGCCTGTGGCCGCGAGTGCAGGACTTCCGACCGCAGCACCTCTGCCGTACATTCCGGGAAACCCAGGTGGCAGAAGTAGTAGTCTTTCCTTTTCTCATCCCTAAAATGGTGTAGTTATGGCACCTCTTTCATAGAGCCATAGTGAAGTTTAAAAGTTACTAGAAGTAAAACATTTAGAGCCAGGTGTAGCAGTGGTTGCCTATAGTCTCAGCTAGTCAGGAAGCTGAGACAAGAGGATTCCTTGAGCCCAGGAGTTCCAGACCAACCTGAGCAACAAACACAGTGGGAACCCATCTCAAAAAGGAAAAATAAATTGCCTAGGACATTGCCTGGCATTCAGTACACTTAAGTATTATAAACTCCTATCTCAGGGTGGTGTGCGTCAGACTCAGCTCTGGCTCGGCATAATGGCATACGCCTGTAATCCCGTTCCGAAGCCGAGGCAGGAGGACCACAGAAACCTCAAAACCTGCCTGGGCTACTTATTGATTTAGCAAGACCATGTCTCAAGATAAAAAATAAAGGGGAGGGAGTATGGGACAAGGACCTCAGCCCTAACTTGTTGGAAACTCCCACTAGACTCCCAGCACCACCACCCCAAATCATGATCACCAAGTTAGGAATCATCCAACTTGCATCTCCCCCTGAAGAAGCCTTAAATAGAAAAGGCTAAGGTTTCCAGCACAAATGTGTCATCACCCTACCAGTACAGTCCTAGGTGGCAAGCCTCTGTCATGCCTCTCATTCGAAGTTCTTCCATTGATCTTGTGGGTGGAGACCAGCGCAATGTACCTTCTGTCAGCTAAAAGGAAACTGACACCCACAGCTAGGCTTGTTTATGTTGGTGATTTTTTTTTTTTTTTTTTTTTTGGGTTAGGCTTGATGTTTAATGTGACATTTTATTGCTAGTTTAGGGGTTGAGATTTAGGTGTTGGTCTCCAGATGGGGCTCAGAACTATTCTTAGGGTACAAGTCTTAGGACACTGACTGAGGCCAGCAATCAGGCTTAAGGTATAGAGGACTCTGGGGATAAGAAATCTTGGCAGTCTGGCCATGATGTACTCACACAGGGGACTCCTGGGCCTTTAACCTGTTATTCATCAGAAGCATGATTTGTGTTTTCTTCTGAGGCAGTCAGACTTGAAAGTAATTTGTTTTCTTCCTCCCTAAAAATCACGACTCTCCACTTCAGTCTACAGATGCTCAATAAATAATTGAAAGTAGAACAAAGCTTGACCTTCATTTTGTAAAACTTTGGGTCAAATCCTCAGCTCTGCATATAGGCATTTTAGTCTTTTAGGAAAACTGTCTAAAAGTTGGCAAAACAGGGTGTATTAGCTCTAAATTTATCTAGCCTATCTCATCACCCTTCAAGATTGAGGACATGAGGGTAAGAGATTTAAAGGGCCATTCAACTATCCTATGCCCAGAAATCTCCATTTCCCTAAACCTAGGGTCACTTTACACTCCAGCAGAGCCTCACAGAACAAAAATTGCCCTTTTTCTCATGGAAATTAAATAGCTCCTCAAGTCATGAGGATTCTTCCAGAGCTATGAAATAAGAACTGAGACAATGATTGACCAGATCTCAGCCCACCACAGTAAGCATAAAAACTGGCCTTCCCTTTTTGTGGATGGGCCAGTCTGATCATCTTCCTCAGAGTATGCCCCTCTAGCTACTCAAATTGGAGACTTTCCCTTATTTTCTCTTACTCCTTTGTCAAGGGACCAGCTTGATTTTTTTCCCCCATAATGGTGAATAAACCCAGGGTCTTTGCCCTGAGTTACACCTCCAGCACCCCCACCCCCACCTTTTCTCCAGCACCAGGGATCAAACTCAGGACCTTGCACTTGCCAGGCAGATGGGGCACCACTGAACTACATCCTCAGCCCTAAGCCCTTTTTCAAAAAATTTGAGACAGGATCTTGCTAAATTGATAAATTACCCAGGTTGGGCTTGAACTTTTGATGCTCCTGCTTCAGCCTTCCAGAGTGCTGGAATTACAGGGGTGTGCCAACATGCCCAGTAGTTGTTTTAATTTCCTAGCATTAAACCAAGGACCCATGCTAGCTGGTGACAGTACCTGGACCTGGGTCCCCGACCACAGAGCTGGAGGTTCCAGGATGTGGGTTGACGATGCATGAAGTTTCAGTAGCCAGCTTGAGTATATCCCCTTAGTAGAGGACAGATGAAGGAGGCCACTGTCACTGACAGACTCCCACCACATACTCTTTCTACCCTTGCACTGTCATACATGACTCCCAGAAGTCAGTGGCAGGAAACAGCTCAGCATCCACAGCCTGCCTGTTGAATTGGCGGATATCAAGTTCAGCCACTGCCCTCTCTGCATCCTCTTTCCTCAAGAATTGAGAGAAAAGTGGGTCGGGGTCAGCAAAGGAAATGGAGATCTTCAGGGGCTTAGTCAGCAGCTTTGAGGCTGGTCTGGATTTAATGATGGACCTCAAGCTGTGAGATTTCAGGGGTGGCCGTCAGGCACTGAATGTCTCCACTTCTGGGCTCTAAGGAGGGGACAGCATTGCCCAAGATCTGGCCCCCAAGTTGTTGCACACATTCATCTCTTCAATGCCCCATACTTCTCCTGTAGTTCTGTGAACACTTCCTGTGAAAGACCAGGAGGAACTCAGCTAAGCTGCTGGAGCACAGGAAACCCAACCTACCCTGCCAACCCTCACCTGAAAGAAGTTATTATAGTGTTCCTGCACCTCCATGTCACTCGTGTGACCTGGAGGAGGGCCAGCATGGAATCAGAGGTGGTGCCTGCTGGGGGCTGTCCACCCTGCCCCTGTTCTGCCTGGTCCCCTACAGTGTGATCCATTTGGGGTTTGGGCTGTGTTCTGATACAGGTTGAACAGCACTATAATTTGAACAGATTTAAAAGGGGAGGGGCCAAGGATTTAGCTCAGTGGTTCCAAAGAATGCCTCCCAAGGGCAAGGTCCGGAGTTCAAAACCCGGTACCCTGCCAAAAAGCAGCGGGGGTGGGGGGGGCAGCACCTGAGCTCGGAGAGCAGGCTGCATGAAAAGAGTGGGGTATGCAGGTTTGGGAGTGGGATTTTGCACCTGAGAAGGAACCTAAGCATCATGCTTGCTGCTAAGAAACAAGAATGTTTCAGGCATAGTGGTGCACACCTGTAATCCCAGCACTCGGGAGACTGAGGCAGGAGGACCGCCTTGAGTTGAGTTCGGCCAGCCTGGGCTACATAGTGAGTTCAAGGCCAGCCTGAGACCCTGTCAGGAAAGAAAAAAAAAAAAGGAAGAAACAAGAGCGTGGTTGGACCCGGTGATTACCAACAGCTCAGCAGCCAAGTCTCTAAGTATGGGGCCTACCCAAATCCCCGGGAGAAGG